GGCCAGATTAATATAATATTCCGTGGGCCCTGGGCAAACAAATTAAAACGGAAAAGTGCCAGCTCACACACCCAAACACACGGGGAGCTGCTAAATTGAAACGAATTGCTGAGCCAGCATTATGGCATATGGCTCCATTTGGGGAAAGTGGGCATAATTATGATATAATGGAAGTAAATGGCGTGACACTTGGCACACATCGGCATTCATCAGTATTCATAACCACTGCAGTTTCAATTACCGCAGATTGAAATATTAATTCTGTGGTCGCTCTCTAACTGCGCAGCAATGGTTAATCATTCATAAAATATTGGTTTATTAGGCACTTCCTAGCTATAAATCGAGTTTACTGCCCTCGAAATAGGCTATCATAATATTATACCGCTGTGTCCCGCTATTCACTGCAATTAAAATAATGAATTGCGATCCAATCAAAGCCAATTAAGTAAAGCTGCTGCCATTGTCAACACTGTAAATGAATCTAAATATAACCGAAGAGGTGAGTCGAGGAAAATGCACAGGAAAACTAATCAGTGCAAAACAGCATAATGGCCGGAAAAAAGTTGGCTGCAACTTAAGCGGCGGCCTAAATGGACTAGCAATTACCTTGAACTAAGAAAATGGCACCGAGATGCCTTCAATTTGAGTCCTGTACTGGAAACTATTAGTGGGAAAAATGAGAAAACTTTTCAGACTAAAGTAACCAACTATCATATTCCCTTTTAATAAGCGTAGTTTCTAAAAGAACGCTTTATTGTTCTACAATATCTGTGGAAATACATTTGCCATTCACTGACTGCTATTGCAAGAGGGATTTTCCGGAATTGGCCTTAAAATATGCAGCTACATATATCCCCTGTGAGGGACAACCGTTGACATGTTTGTGGCTGATCCCAGGGATTCCATTTCCACCATGACCACACGACATTCAACTGTCCGTGTTTGCACCCGCTGAGCCAAAGCGTTTTCTGAATGCTTAATTACAGAATGCGCTCATGTTTGGGCGCCGACTTTTGGGGCGCCTTAGTTGGCAAATATTTGAGAGAGAAAGCGTTAGCACTCGACATGTTGACACTTTCCCCCCACGCAAATGCACATTTATAGACCCAGTCAAATCAATGAGCAAATAGCCCCGAAGCCAATGTCCTGCCGGGCCAGTACAAATAATTGGGACATTTTCACAAAAGAAAAAGAATCCTGGAGTCACAGTTAAAGAAATGTTAGGATGCCTTTCAATTTTTTCCTTTGTACAATTGACAGTGCGCAAAACATTTATGTGGAAATGCAAATACGGTGAAAAGCGTGGGACCCTAAGGTTCCACCGAAAAAATAAGCTAAAAATATGAAAGAACAAAGAAAGTTAATATGTAGCTATACAAGAAAGCTTTTAAGCGCATCCAGGATGGGAAAACAGTGCCCTTGGCACTTGATAAGCATACGTGTCAGAAGGAAGACGTTTCCTAATGCCCTTCAATCTTATCTTCACTCGCTTAGGAACCCAAATCAATGAGCGGCAGCTGTCAGTCAGAGTTTCAAGGAATTACGGGCTAATTGAAGCGGACCCACTCGATAATGGATATATTAATTCCCCGACAACTCCAACTTAAAGAGGCGAAACTTTTTACAAACAAAAAAAAAATAACTGGAGTTCAAGAACTGTGGTGATAAGAGCTTTTCTTGGGGGCCGATCGGAGAAGTGCCAAAAACAAGCACGAAAATGCCGGGGAAGTTAAGAAAAAAATCGCACAGAAATACTGTCGAAGTGGGAAAATTTCGCAAGAAGCCAAAGCAATTAGGCAGCCAGAGAAGCCAAGAAAATTTTCACATGCAGAGATCCGAGTGAAATTGCCAAGCGGCTGGAGCAAGAAATGCGGATGAAAAATTGGGAATTAGAAAACCGCCCCTGGCCATGTCCTTTGCAAGGAGAAAAGTTGCCAGTTTTCCAATTTTTTGCACTTTGTTCGGTGTTTTCGTTCTGGTCTGAATATCACGTCATATTTGATTTTATTTTTGATTGTGTTTTGATGGCTGGAAAAAAGACCATTTCATACGTTGTTTGCAGGATAACTGCACGGTAAAAAAATTATAAAGCGATTCGCAGACAATATTTATGTGTATAACCTGGATGCTATGCATTTTCTAATACATTTCCATTTGTAGGCACTTTTATTAGGGCGAACCAATATTTTATACTTAAAAGCACTTTCCTAAGCAACTTTAATTGGTTCATAAATAATTCATGAATTTCCACAGTGCAGATACCATTTTTTGGCGCATGAACTCTTGATTGGCTGTTTCGGAATATTGCTCATACGCCGCATGTGCCCACGACAAGTGTTCAATTATATGCGCTTAGTTGTGGCCAGCATCGCCCCTATAGCGTCCTTGATGATGGCTTCCGGTTTTGATATTGCGGCTTCCTCCACAATTTCTCTCTTTTTTCCAGAGAGAGTACTTTTCGCTAACTAAAAACTAAAATGCCTGAAATGTGTGCGTGTGAGCTTTAAAACCGGATTTCCGACTCCCAAAAAAACTCAGCATTTTATGTGAGCCGGGCAGCTGCACGTGGCTGTTGTTACCTTTTGGTACCTTTTGGCATAATTTGCCTCTTCCATCCCCAGTGATTCCTGGGAATGCTGAAAATGTGTGCCAGAGCTTTTGGTTTCATAAATTCACGGCGTTTCTAACCGCACACGAAGGGCGAAGGGCTCTCCTGGGCCCTCCATCCTGGCAAAGTATTTCCGGCCAGCGAAATGAGCCAGCTCACATGGCATCCAACGAGGGGTCAGGGACTACTCGTATATGTAGTATTCTGTTCTCTGCTCATTATATGGCCCGGAGCCAAAAGAAAAACAGAAGGAATCAGTGTTCTGTTCGCTTGTGAGGTCCTGCCTCGAGGACAGGCCAAATATGTAATTGTACTTGGCCAGAAGATGGCTTGAACCCAGTTCGAAGGGTGCATAAAAACAAACACTTGACTTGGGCGATGTGTGGCTTTAGCAGGGAGAGAAATAATCAGCAATTCTCGGTTTATACTGAAGCTTTTTACATAATTGCCCAGGTATATGAAATTTCCATGCTTTTCCCTTATTGTAACGACTTTTTCTTTAACGCTACGTGCTGTTAGGCAACCGATTCTACTTTAAAGACATTACCATCGATTCCATTGCCAGATAATCGAATACCATTGCCACTACACCGTGTTTTGCTAATGGGCCAACACAATCAAACCTCCATTTGTGAGGACATTTGCAGTTGGCCAACTGTCGAAGGGGCGTGGCGCAGTAATTAAAACGATGCGGTGGATGGGGTGTAGTGGATTATGTGATTCCATTGCGCCGGACGAAGGTGGGTGGCATTAATAATGCAGATGGAAAAGCCTGGCGATGGCTTTATTAGCTCGTTTAAATGGATGTTTTTTTTTTGTGCGGCGTTGTCTATTAAGCGGCAAGTGTTGTTCCTTGTCTGAGGTCCTTTGACCCCTTAATTCCTCTTTCCACTTTGTCCTGTCAGCTGCCATCGTCAGGCACTTTAGGCAGCCAAATCCCCTCAAGACACTCCGCTGTTCCTGTCATAGTCAACAAGTACTAGCATTTACGTGACTGGACGCAGCTTTCACGGCCTCTAGTCCTTCGGTCAGCAGGCACTTGACATTGGTAGCCCACCCCAGCCACCCACTGGAATTGCCGAAAACTTCCGTAATGGGCGGCATACGGTGCGTATTAGTTACATTAGTGGCGACCAAATGAGACAGTGGGACATTTGTTTATTGCTTTACTTCTGCGTGCTTGCAGTGTAATTTGGCACTGGTCCTGCAACGAAATCCAATTCAATTATAAGCCCTGACCACATGTTGGAATTAGCCAGGCATTTGGGGCTGCCTTAAAGGCAGCTCTTGTAGTTCCGAAACGATGTTTCTTTATCCCTAATTCAATATTTATGACGGGAATTAATTAGGAATTTCACGGAGAAACATACCATTTATAATTGCAAAAAAAAGACCGAATTTTTGCCAGTCAGCATCGCAGGACCTTTCCAAGTCACTTGGCATAAGCCCAATCTAGGCCAAATCCCCTGGCCAAAAGTCTTAATCACTGTAATGGAAGCTAGGCCGGCTTACAAAACCAAAAACAAGATTTTGTGCTTCAGATCACAAACACAACGACAGAATATGAATGGAAAACAGAGAATTTCGGATTTTATTATCACTTCAAGGCTGACAAAACAGTTGGCACAATTTTCATTGTCCAGATTTATTGCTCTCCGGAAAATTGTCACTTGGCCAGTAAGAAAGTAACTTTTAATTAGAGGCTACTGCAGCTATGCAGCTGCCACTGCGGCTGGGCCAAGAGCAAAAGTAAAGATATTTCCTTTGACTCTCGCCACAAACTGCATTCTCCGTATTTTCTCATTTGTCTAATGGAGTTATGTCACCAAGAAATGCGTGAGTGTTACACTCAGCAACTATGTGGTAGTTCCAAGAAATAGTTTTCTGTAATTTAGTGCACAGCTTTATTTCTTTCAAGCGTATAAGAATGCTCAGTGTTAGGTTTAGTTTTGTCTACGTGCTTCATGTAAGCCGGAATGTTGCATGTTACATCGTTTGACCACAAATTGCCGAAATCATCTGCTTCTGCTGGCCCACTGGTCGTATGCTTATTATTGATTACGGGCCGAGGCATTGTTTTCTGACCATTTCGGACAAATGGTAATGACATTTCTTTGTTGATTCATGTGGAATCATACTTTTGACCTACCCTGAACTTGGGCATTGTTCTGTGCATGTGGCATGCAATGCCATTGTATTTTGTGAGTTTCGAAGCTTTAATTCTGGTTAAGTTATAACCACAACAGCGAATTCATTTTTTATTCACCCAACGCCTGGTGTTTATTTGCAGGTACCATTTTCGCCACGCAGCTTGCATATTAGAGTGTTGGAATTTCCGAAAAAGGGAATTTTAATGAAACGCCAGTGGAGCAGCGGGGCGCACTGAGTTGGCAGTCGGACAGCGCGGTCAACCAATCGGAGTCCTGCCAGGACATCCCACCACCGACTACCACCTGACCAGCTCATCATTGACACCATGGTCACGAACATGTCGCAGCCGCATTACTGTGGCACCGGCATCGATGATTTCCACACAAAGTGAGTAGAGCGAGGACGTGGGCTTGAGCATGGACTCATATCCCTGGGGTACGTCTGCATATTAATTACTTTTTTACGTGTAATTTACATAATGATTTGCCAGCCGGGAGCGCATAATGAAATCATGTGTGTAATTGCCTACGGAAAAAAGTGCAAAAAGGCTAACGAAGTGTACCTAATGTGGGTAGGCACCTTCGGATTAAGCTGCACCAATACCCGGAAAAAATCCATAATCCATAATGGCATGGCTCAGAAAAGCATTTAAAAAAGAATTTAAATACATAAATATTTGTTGTACTATAAGGCCTTTTTTGCCTATCTCCCAAACAGCTACAAATACTTCCACGGCTACTTCTCGCTGATTGTGTGTATCCTGGGCACCATCGCGAACACCCTGAATATCATTGTGCTAACCCGACGCGAGATGCGCTCCCCCACAAATGCCATACTCACGGGTCTGGCAGTCGCCGATCTGGCTGTGATGCTGGAATACATACCCTATACAGTGCACGACTACATTCTCAGTGCGAGGCTGCCGCGGGAGGAGCAGCTCAGCTACAGCTGGGCGTGCTTCATCAAGTTCCACTCGGTTTTTCCCCAGGTGCTGCACACCATCTCCATTTGGCTGACAGTGACGCTGGCGGTTTGGCGCTATATAGCGGTGAGCTATCCGCAGAGGAATCGCATCTGGTGTGGAATGCGGACTACGTTGATCACCATAGCCACAGCCTATGTGGTGTGTGTCCTGGTGGTATCACCGTGGCTGTACCTGGTCACGGCCATAGCCAAGTTCCTGGAGACCCTGGATGCCAATGGCAAGACGATCGGCTCAGTTCCGTTGAGTCAGTACATCCTGGACTACAATCGCCAGGAAGAGGTGACGATGCAGGTCATGTCGAGTACGACGCCAGATTTTTCCTGGGCGATACCTAGTGATTCGGCCAATGGAACTGCAGTTAGCTTGCTAAGCTTAACTACAGTCGTACCCCTAACCACTTTAAGTACTGGATCAACCACATCCTCGGCGATGGGCGAGCGCAATGTGACTGTCTATAAGTTGTATCACAGCGCACTGGCGCTGCATGATCGCCAGTTCAGGAATGCGACCTTCCTTATATATAGTGTCTTGATCAAGCTGATACCCTGCTTCGCATTGACCATCCTTTCTGTGCGGCTCATCGGGGCGCTCTTGGAGGCCAAGAGGAGGCGCAAAATCCTGGCCTGCCATGCGGCCAACGATATGCAGCCAATTGTCAATGGAAAGGTGGTGACTCCAACCCAACCCAAGAGCTGTAAGCTCCTGGAGAAGGAGAAGCAGACCGATCGCACCACGAGGATGCTCCTGGCGGTCCTGCTGCTCTTCCTGGTCACCGAGTTTCCGCAGGGCATTATGGGTCTGCTGAATGTGCTCCTGGGCGACGCCTTCTTCCTGCAATGTTACCTAAAGCTGAGTAAGTATTCCAGGATTAAAACTCCTACTTCTCCGCTGTCTGTAACACCAAATTGCTTTATTGGGTATGATAATTGGCTGAATTTATGGCTGGTGTTTACGTGGGCCCAGTTTGGCACAGCCATCAATCATACGGACCGCTGGCTGCCATAATTGCACCACAAATTTGAGGCTTCAATGTACATGTCTGGCCTTGACATGTTCAATAAGTGTTCATTTTGTTTATCTAGCACACCCAAATTAAAGTAGACTTACATTTAAAACTCCGAACACTTAAAGGTTTTTTAAATTTCGCTAAAAATTAAAGTTTTAAATATAAAAAAAGGTTTTTTTAATATTCAAAATATTTAATTTGTTGATATTTTATTTTTTTTCGAGTGTTTGGAATATCAATCTAATCGCCCTTGAACTTTGTCAAAGCCCTGCCCATAGATGGCGTGTTGGTGGCGCCCGGCATTTATGGCATTTCGACTTTTTTCGCTCCAGGTGACCTTATGGACATCTTGGCGCTTATTAATTCGAGCATCAACTTCATCCTGTACTGCTCGATGAGCCGTCAGTTCCGGAGCACGTTCGCGCTCCTCTTCCGTCCCCGCTGGCTGGACAAATGGCTGCCGTTGTCGCAGCACGACGGCGATGGAAGGGTGGGCGGAAGTGGCGGCCTGGGCGGCTACGGCGGATATGGACGGCAGCGGTTGCTGCACACGGATGCCGTCAGCAAGAGCATGGCCATCGATCTCGGGCTGACGACCCAAGTGACAAATGTGTAGCAGGAGAGCAGTGGCCGGGCGGCGGTGTCAGCCGCAGCCGGTGGAGCAGCTGCATCGGTGGCCCTGGCAGTGGCAGCCACTGATGTTGATGGATGTCCGGTTGCCACTGATGCTGCTGTTTCCACTAACGACATCAGCCTGGTCGAGAAGCTGCACTTGCAGCCCAGCCAAATGGCTGCTGCGATATCGAGTGGACAGCATCGAAGACGTCGCAGTGGGAGTGGCACCAAGTGCATCTGGCCCACGACGGACTGGCTGAGAAAGCTGCGCAGCCAGAAGGCTAGGGAAACCGAAACATCCTCCGATCAGGACATAGAGCTGGGCAAAAGCTCTATCAACAGGCGCAGCAGTGTCCTTCTAATGGTATTACTTAGCAGCTCCGATGAGGTCAAAGCCAAGGCTGTTTTGGTCAGTGAGCAGCCGCCGAGTCCAGGGGACGAGGATGTGGAAGACGCCATCGATGCCCTCTGGCTGTGAGATGTCCCCTCACTTCCATTTTGTACGCCCTGTAAATTACCCAAGTACCCACTAATATTTAACTACTATGTACAGACCAATTCTTCAGACAAATTGCTCTGCGCTGATTCCAATATTTTCCAGCCAGCGAACCACCTTGGCGAATCGAGAGCCCCTTTCGCTGAGGCTTTGCTCTGCTGGAAAATGAGTGGGGTTTCCTTGAAAGGACTCCCTGGAAGCAGCCTGCAACATTTTGTGACCACCCTTGATAAGTGATATACTTGACTAAGTTTCACCCCTAATAGTTGTGTAAGTGCTAAGCGCGTCTCTGGATAAAAAAAGGAATTAGTCATAGTCTAACTATTACCTAAGATATATTTATGAAACGATTTGGAAGCTACGAGATTACATTTCTTTTTGTATTGAATAAATGTGTTTGCGATGGAAACGCGGTTTTATTTAAGTCACTTATAGTAAGTATTATTGAAGCCCTTTGTTTTTACTGAACTGAATTTATATTGAACTTTAATAAAAAACGTTTTCAAGAATGCTTTTGGATGCATTTGGCTACGATAAAAGGCTGTTTAATTTTGTCGTTGAATTTAATTTTCGGGAGATTTACTACCGACAAAAACCCAGTGATTGGCACTCAAACATCAAGGACCCGTATTGCCCTGGTCCTTCTGACATAAGGACGAATAATATAAACGAACAACTGACAGTAAAAAGTGACTGAAAGCAAATGGCAATGTTGAGAGCGTCAAGGGCGTTGATTAATTGTAATTTTAATCAAAGGGCGAGGCGAATTTGTCAACAGTGTTCGAGAGCGAGTGGAACACGCACAGAAACAAATAAAAGGACTAAAACTGATGGCCCAATTCGTAGCTGCTAATGGCCAGTAGTTTCAGGACGAAGATCAAGCTATAGATAGCTTTAGATGTATTACATGAATCGAAGGGGCTACAAGCTCAGAAAGTACGCGGAATCGATTGCGATGTCAAGGGCCAAATTCAAAATTACAAAATGCTAAGAGTTCATCATTCATGCTAATGCCCCGAGGGTCCTGCCATAAATTCTGATAAAGGACCACCCAATCTTGAGTGGGAGGACTAGTTGCACATTCAATTCCCAGCCAGACATTTGCTTGCATAATAAAATTATATTCAGTTCTCTGAAATAGGGCCCTAAAAGTTCATTAATTCAAGACTATAATAAATGGGCACGTTCGTAATTATCATTGATTTGATTTCAAGAATTCATTTATCTCTCCACTTGAGTAAAATAATATGGACACTTCGGGCTATATGGGTGATTGCTTATTTTATGAACTGAATTATAAAATTATTAAAAACGTAACATAAAACCGAAAAGATTGAGAATAATGGTAAGTTCATCATAACTCAAGACTCATTGAGCTGCCATCAAAAAAGAGCCAAGTCATATTTCTGGAAGTAGATTAACAACTCGCCCTAACAGGGTTTCTGCCTTCATTTGCAGTTTCATGGAATTATGGAAGATTTGGCCCTGTAATAAAAACACAATTAGAAACCAATTTATGGTTGCAATCCAATAAGCCAAAGCTCAGGTATTTGCCTTAAATTACAGTTTGGGGGGCCATCTGTAAATCCCAAATTGTATTTACAATTTGCAGACACAAACCGATGAAATGGAATAAAAACACAGCCCTGAATCAATAGAGTCCATCTCCTACAACGCATAGCCAGTTAAATGTCATTGAAAATATATGAATGGCAATTCGATATGGTCGTTCAATCACTCATACACACTCTAAGGATTTCAGCTTGGACAATTCCCTCTTTGTTCGAAAGGGCACTGAAACAGTTCAAATTAATAGAAATAAGATAAACGAACTGGCAACTGAAATGTAAACAGTTTATGTCCTTTCGTTGTCAAATTTGCGTATTACATTTTAAATTTAGTTATATTTTCTTGCTGGGTTCGTTGAATGTTGTATCTTTTTTCTCTTTTTCCCTGTGTAGACAAAATGCAAGTTAACTCAGTTTGCAGCTCTTTTTATACTGCTGAAGGTACAGAAGTGGAGCGTCGGATAGAAAGTGTGGACAGGATGGAAAAAGCGATATAAATGAAAATGTAATCAAAGGGGTTGGGCTGCCGAGTGTCCGAGGGTCAAAGGACAAACATGGAATATAAAACTTGTCCCTGGAATCCCTTGGCTCTTTGCTCGTCACACATTTGCTACTGGGAAGTTTGTGGTTTGGCAACATCGAAACTTTTCCATGTATTTGGTTCATTTTGGGGTCATTTTGGTGCTGCTAACATGTGGAATACTTTAACGTATTAAATTTACACATCTAGCGGCATTTAAGCATAAATTATGCTGAACAAACTAAACTATAAATCACTATAAACTTAATAAATCACGGTCATTTTGGCATCCCAGCTTTAAAGTCATTTTCCGTTTAATTCGCCTCCAAAAACTTTTGCAATAAATGAACAACTTCTAATTATTAAATTGCAGCGAAGCTTATTATGTAACTACTAGTAGACCCTCTGGCCCCAAAATCAAATTACAAATTCTTCCAACGAAATATGTTAATATTCCACACCAATTTCTGCTGAATCATCGGCAGGAGCCTTAATTATAAAATCAACCCCAGGCAATTTTAAATGCAATTGCTACAAATTTCATTGAATTAAGCGCACATCAAGGCCAAAAAACTTAGGGCCAAAAGTCCTTGGCTGTGAAAATTTTCGGCTATTTAACAATGGCCAAAATGTGCGCGCCAGTTGGTGGCCAAGCAGAAAGGGCAGAAAAATTACCATAATTGCCCCGAGGGTTGGGAAGAAAATTCGAATGGAAAAGCCTGGCAACAGATTTTCCTATGGCTCCTCCCTAATTAGCAACTAATTTATGCTCCCGCGATGTGTGAACGTGTTTGCCAAACAACTGCATGTCAAAGTTTGAGAGACTCCCGCCGAAATCGTGCTCCAAAATGTGTAAAAATGGCTAATATGCTAAAATAATATTTGGCCCTCTAGTATTCGGAACCAGAATTTCCTGTAATTTACAGCGCCACCGAAATGAATTCTTTCATATATTAACTTGACACGCCTCTGACAATTTGTTCGTGCTGTGTGGCCATTTCTATTACTCATACGCAGTGTTGCCAGCGGTTATTTATGCCAAGTCGTTAGCTGAAACCCATTGACAGCTGCGGCTCTTGACGCCCTCGCAACATATGCATATTGTTTACAAGCCCGGCTTTTGACAAGTTGTGGGATGGGCGGAAAACATTATCATACATCCACTATAGGGAAATTGGTAAGTCAAACACATTTCCACCGCTTGAACATGATAGATTGGGCTGCAATGTCGAATATTAGCAGGGGAAAACTTCAGGCACCTAATCATTAATCAACTGGGGGATTTTTAAAGGCGGAGGCTTTTTTAAAACGGTCACGCAACCTGTAATGTCCCCCCGTAAATGCGAAAAAACCCAAATCGCCATAGATTTTTTTGCTAGTTCGTGTGCCGCCTAGAACAAACAAACTGTAGTCATTTGTCAACAAAGTTGATAAATGTTTTAATTATGGCCCACGCCTCAGTTGGGAGCCAAACGGAATATTCAATTGCGCAAATTTCGTTGCCAAGGTGGCGAAAGGGAAGGGCTTTCTTTTATTTGATGGGGAACGGCTGGGGATTTAATTAAAATGCCGTACTTAAGAGATTGGGAACTAAAAAATCATTCTGCCCTTTGGAGTGCTTCATTAGTTAAATGAATCAGTTGTTAACACCCGATCTGATATCCAGTTTTTTGTGTCTAATGTCCAAATGCCACGAAAAAGATTCTAAATTATTCTGCGAAAGTCGGATAAGCCGGCAGCCACAGACAGACGAAGGCAGCTCTGATTTATGCTGATATTTTCCTATGGTTAGGCATTTGCATTCGGCCCATGGAAATGGCAAAATACTCGTATTTATTTGCCAAATCAGAGCCAGCGGAGCCAGACGAGTGCACGTGCCATTGGTAATTGATTGATTGTAAGCAAACACGGGGCAACAGCTGACAAGATAAGCAAACAGCAGTCAGCTCACATAATCCCAAAATTGTTGTAGCGTTTTCAAATTTATTTCACCCATTTTTGTGCGCGTTTTACGATTAAAGCCTGTTTGAGGAGGTTACCAATTTATGTCCAAATTAATGTTTAATTTAAAGAGGTTGTGACCCAAAAAGTATAGGTAGTTTCCCCAAGATTGATTCGTCTACTCCTTAAAGCCGTCTTAATTGCTTTTCAATAACTAAACAAAGTTCAAACAAACACGCAATGTCGAGCCAAAACGTCGTAAAAAATGCAAACAACTGGTGCGGGCCCAAATCTCATTAAACACACTGCCGGCAAACGGAAACAAGGATAACACTACACAACTACAATACTTCAGTACACTGCAACAAATGCCTTGTTGCGTGCTATTTGTCATTTCGGATTGCGAACGGATGCCAGTGGCCCAGTTAAAGGCGGCGGAGGCGTGACCACCGACCGTTCGACAACAATTGTTCCGGAGTATGCGAAAATGGGCAAAACTTTTCTTGTTTATGGTTGAATAAATTATTGGGCTCGCTTTTTGCTTTTCTTTTTACACCAATTGGCTGAAGGTGTCTACAGGTAAGAAAAGCGGCAAGAAGCAGCTGAGAAAAAGTTGGCAGGGGAAACTTGAAAGCACCTGTCAGCAGCGTCTGTAAAGGATATTTTTACAGGTATGTTGGAACTATGCTCATCCAATTGAATTTAAATTAAATAACAATGTGTATATACAGTAACACAGGTAACTATTTGTAATATGATTATTTTATGCAGATATATGAGATAGGTACTTATGTTAGACAATATTTCAAAGAGCATTTCTTCAATTGCACAAAACGCATTTCTCAGCTCCTGCATGTCAAAGATTATCTGTTTTGCATTTCGCCAAACTCATTAAAAAATCGTTGCACTGAACGTTGTCACTCATACGTCCCGTGCGCCCTGAAAATACTTCAACCGCCGTGCCGTGTTTGGCTGTGTGGGTGTGTATCTGTGTGTATGTGTCTGTGTGTGTATCTGCGGCCACATGTGTGCGTATCTGTGAGTGGGTGCACCGTTAACTGAGTTGTTGCGCCATTTTGTACGACATTTTTGCGGTGACGACGGCGGTGCAGTTGCAGTTGTTTGTCTCCTTGAACCAGTTTGCCAACATAACAACAGAAAATAAAGGCTGAGGACCGACCCAGTTGTGTCAAACAGTTTTTGATGCTACGCCAATTTAAAGCCGTGTGGCAGCCCCAAGAAAGCCCCGAAAAATACGAAAAATGTGAACTGGGTAGCACACTTGTCCACGTGCCGCTCTGGAACACATCCCCACCAAAA